CCCCGCAGTTTTCGCGTCTGCCCCCCCCCCCACGCGCGCGTACACACACGTACCTGTGAGCAGCGGCTGAACGACGCCGTTCTGCCGCGAGTTGCAGCACGTCCGGCCGTCGTCGTCCGTTGACATCTCGAATGGAGGTGGACCAACGCTCGCGTGCGCCCGCTCCGGGAGGTACAGCTCGCCGCTCTGCCGATCTACCCCCGCGGCGCCGTCCGTGCCGGCAGTTGCACCCGACTTCTGCACCTTCTGCATCTCGGAGAGCGAAACGGGGTATATGTTAAGCCCGCTGCAGACGATGCTATTTTTCCTGCTGGATTGCTTGCGATGTAATAAATTACTGTCATTGCGCCACTCAGCACTCAGGATTTCTAGTAATTTGCTGAATCGCAAGCAATCCAGCAGGAAAAATATAGCATCGTCTGCAGCGGGCTTTAGGGCCGTCGCAAATGCAAAATTGCATAGCTGCGCGCTAAGACCGTCTAGACTCTCTAGACCAATAAGCGTGTTACGTAAATCAATATGGCGACTCGGTGCTCGATGTTCATTGGTTTAAGGATGTATTGGACGTACAATCTTAGACAAAAGTGCATGAAATTGGAAATACTTAAATATCTACTCTTAACGCATAGTAAATCTAGATGTAAGGAACTTGAACGATAGTTGGAGTCTTATTTGTACTCCTACAAAGGTATTTTTCACTTTACAAATGTTTTTTCCTGAATTATTTGCAATTTTTTTCACTTATGAGCCGAAACTTTTGATAGTGAAAATACTCTGATTTCAATATAAACGTCAAATATTTTCAAAACTAAAAAATTCGTGCCGACAGCACAAATATCTCAAGTTATATTTTATTATATTTTATTTCTTTAAAACGGTGCAGTAAAGACTATTGAAACTTTGTAGATATTTTCATCTATTCGTATACTAGATGTATAAAAAAAATCAAAACACTGGTACGATTTCTTCTATATTTTTTTAGCTGTTTTATCCGTGAAGATCGGCTTTTCCCATAAGAGTACGTGTAAAATCAGTGTAAATTAAAATAGTTATATCTCAGCAACCGTTTAGTGGATGCATTTTTACTTTTATGCAATAAATTAGGAAGACTAAAAGAACAATTTCACAAATTTTTAGCGACTTTGTACTATTTTGAAGATAGGTCCGATACATCCTTAAGGTAGCTGTTTCGCGCGACAGTAGTGCTGAAAAGTTCATTCCAGACAGGAACCAGCACTCGATTGTTGCAATGATATTTATCTTGATGCAATATTATTGTAGAGAATACATTTGCGATTGATGCATGATATAAAATTTATAACATATTTGTTCCTCATACGAATCTCACTAACCGTTAAGCCTAAAAAAAAAAATAAAATGTGCCATCGTTTGCATTTGCAGACGTAATAAATATTAATATTTTAGCGTATAATAATACGTGTAAATAATATCTCGCGTGCAATAATATTACAACGAATTATATTGTTACGTGTAATAATATTTATTTTTAACGTCTTTTACACGTAATATTTCGTGTAACGTAGCAAACTGTTTTTAGAACTTGGAGACGGTCAATTTTAATTTCATTAGTCTCATTTTGCACGTATTAATGTAAAGAATAGATTGTCAAAGTGCGAAACAATTCTCGCATGAATACACGATTTTACGAAAAAAACTACTTTAAACGGTTTTCATGCATATGTAGCCATGCAATTTTGTGTGCGGTGGCCCGTATGCCCGTTCTACACCTAGGGATGATCCTATACTTGTGGCTCATCCGAGTAGAGAAGCTTACACCGGGTATTTTGGTACGACTATCGTACTAAGTATGGTTTTTGTGTGATTTCACTTTGAAATTTAACCGTCCTCTTAAGTCCGTATTAGACTACGGATTGGGATTGGGATTAGATTGAAATTTAACCAATCACAGTAAAGTTTATTAATCTCAAGTTCAGTAACTTTTACTCCGATTGGTCACGTTTCAATCTAATCCCAATCTCAATCCGTAGTCTGATACGGGCTTTATGCAGAAAGGTCACCCGGTCTCAATACGACGATCTTCGTCCATTCGTTTACCCACACGGATAAGCCACACGTTTCCCCGAAGAATGCCTTCGCAGGCGGTTCCGGGGAAGATTCGCCTATAGTGCGGAGTCCAAAGAGAGGGGTTTTTTAGCTGGTATTTCCCGCTTCACGGGAGAGCCCAACCTTCCAGGACGGCCTGAAGGTACGCGCAAAAGCGTTTTTCCCACTCTCGGAACAAAAAAAAGAGGATGAGCCACAAGTAGGATCATCCCTAGGTGTAGAAGCGGGCACGACGCACACGGGCGTGCGCACACATGCGTGCCCCCGCGCGCGCAATGTGCCAGTTTCGTTTGGGACATATATACGTGTCGAGCGTTAGATTTGTCGCGTAAATAACCTCTACGGGGTTCATTCGCGTCCGCGCGCAACGGCGATAACAGCCGCGCCGAAATGTCAAACTTGATAATTCACCGTGCGCCAGCGAAGCCCCGTCTCCGGAAACTCTCCCTCGTTATACGTAGGCGAGAGAGAGAAAGAGAGACGTGCGTGAGTCGGGCACTCGAACGGGAGGCAGAGGGGGGGGGGGAGGGGAGGTAAAACGCGACGAGTGCGCGCAAACGAGTGCGTGAGAGGCGGGCCTTACTTCGCGACACGGGGTCCCCTCGCGCTGTCCGATCCGCGGCGACAATTGCACCCGCCACTGACGACGATGCCCGGCGTGATAGCGTCGACTAGCATGCCTCGGCGCGAGCCGCGATGTAATATACTGGCCCGCGAGAATCGATAGGGAACGTTTGAAGGACGCGCGGCGCGGCGCGGCGCGGCGCGCCGTTGGCACGGCCTGTTACATTACGCCCGCTGGTCCTCGGTGTCCGTCGGCAATCACCGCGGCGGGTATTTGGATTCTGGATCCGCGTGCGTGCGCAGCCCCGTGCGCGAGAACGCGGGGGGTTGCGCGCCACGGGGCGACCGGTCCGCGGGGTCCGCTTTGTCGTGCGATGCGCCACGTTGCACGATACGAGATAATTCTTATCCGAAAGGACAAGTTAACTTATCGCGAGATAATTCTGCGAATTCCAAAGGGATAAGTTCCTGAGATAGCATGCATGTCGTAGAGGCCAGTTTCACAAACATCGGTTGACTGCTAACCAAAGGTTTAATTGATTCTCCGTCTCTTCTTAAATAATAAGACGGAAAAAGATCGGGAGTCGACTGGACTCTGGTTAACGGTTAACCGTAAGGCCCGGTTTTTTTCACCAAACGTCATTTAATTTTAATCTTACAAGTTGTTAGTTTAATTCACGTTTGTCTCTTTCTGAAGGAATAGTTGGGAAAGAGACAAAGAACGGATTAAGCTGAGCTTAAAGTTGAACGACGTTTGGTGAAACTGGGTCTTAGGCCCAGTTTAATCTTAGTTTAATTCACGTTTGTCTCTTTCTGAAGGAATAATTGGGAAAGAGACAAAGAACGGATTAAGCTAAGCTTAAAGTTAAACAGCGTTCGTGAAACCGGGCCTAGGGCCCAGTTTCACCAAACGTCGTTTAACTTTAATCTTAGTTTAATTCACGTTTGTCTCTTTCTACAATAGAATAACAGTTGGAAAGAGACGAAGAACGAATTAAGCTAAGCTTAAAGTTAAACAGCGATCGTGCAATCGGGCTTAAGGCCCAGTTTCACCAAACGTCGTTTAACTTTAATCTTAGTTTAATTCACGTTTGTCTCTTTCTGAAGTAACAGTTGGAAAGAGACAAAGAACGCATTAAGCTAAGCTTAAAGTTAAGCGACGTTTGTAAAACCGGGCCTTAAAGACATCTTTAAGACGGCATTAAGTTGTCTTTTAGATACGTACGTCTAAAAAGTGTTTTAACGATATCTTCGTAACGTCCTTTAGACATGCATTGCTATCTGGGTCATTTATCACTTGCTTTGCACAATTTAATTTCCGGTTCATTTATATTTTCCGCCATTGCTGTGTTCTTGTACCACAATGAGCATCGCAATAAACTGAACTGAACTAAATTGGTAATCTTACTTTACTCATACCGATACGATGTTAATAACTGGCTATAGTCGGTCGTAAATACAGCGTTGGGATCTTGAATCTGAACTGTCGAGGAAGTACCGCGAGAACTGCTGCAGCAGTTCGAGAGTCGAGCCTTTTATCCAAGGCACCCAAATGGGCCTGCTGCCTCGTCAGAAAGTTCTACTCTGTCTGGAGAATTTATTCCTCGAGTTTTTCCTAGAGTTAGAGACGTGCATTCCTAGGGACAGACAAATCTGTCGAGAACGGGTTTTGAAAGTGTCTGCTATAAATTTTGTCGATAGATTGTCAGAAAGAAAAAATAGAATAGAATCTGCCAACAGAGCATAATGGCAGATTACAGAAACCGAGTCTGCGCTGTTTCGTAACGATTAAAACCATATATTCCATTCAAATGTTTACGAAACGGCAAGGTTTCCGCCGACAATCTGCTGTCAAATTATACTCGCAGAAACGCGAGTTTAATGCAGAGATAAAATTATATTTTGATCTTCCGTTTAGCACTTGAAGATTAGATTGTGAATAACAATTATATAATTAAATAGTTTTCGCCGAGAGCAATTTTGCCGATTGGATTAATCGCCGGTAATTATTATTTCCGTTAGCATGGGTAGAATTAATTTCTTGTTGCTTGACAAAGGGAAAGATTGAACTAATTTAGTCAAGGTTTAATCGATATTTATTCGGGGAAGAAAAGGAATGTACGCGGCTACTTCTCTTCTGCACAGATAAATCTGATATTAAATTCTTAAAGCTCGATAATTTAATGACGAAGAATACTTTTACTGTAACTTGGTAAAAAATAGACGTTCACAAAATAAGAAGAGGTGAGAACAGAAATTTTCTCTTTAGAGTTTGCCCGATCTAGGAGGACAAGAGAATCTTTCCAGCTGTGCTTTCCATTCCATTCCATTCCGCTGTGCTTGTAAGCCCTTTTGAAACAAGTAATCATGGAACCATTACTAATTAACAGTGTCTTTCGTCCCCTTTAAGTTTGCTTAAATTGAATCCCAAGATTTTTAACAAGCGTGTATTCTACACGAGACCAATCCTCTCTCCTCTCCCCTTTTCTCTCTCATCCGTTTTTCAAGATACACAAAACTCATGCTGCTTGCATAAAAAAAACGACACGAAAAAGTTTCATTTTTGCTAACCTGAAAGGAAACAAACATTGGTGAGGAAAGAAACGGGCAAACGAGGTTCTATGGCGAAAAATTTACTTCATCTGGGAGGACAAAAGGATTGGCTACGGTTTTCGCCCGGGGAAGATAAGAAATTCTCTTGTAACTCGCCAGCGTAATTTTCCTTCAGTGGTGTTCTCAAGTATCTCGTTTTCAGAAGAGAAAAAAAAACCGCCGTAACAATAGCTCTTTGTCTTGCGAGCAATCTTACTGTTAGATTCTAAAAGTTCGAGAATTTAACGAGATACAAAGCGTGTACCGTGCGCGTGGCAAGTCTCTCCTTTTACGCGTTCTCTCATTTTTATTCGCCTTTAAGATACAGAAATTGCACTCAATTGTACGCATCAAAGAACAGTATCAAAGAAGTATTTTTTTAACCTTTGAGTGGTATAAGTCAGGAGAAAACAGACGTACATAAAGGGAGAAAAAAAAGTAAGAGGTAAAAAGTTTATCCGGCGCAGGGGGAAAGGGCTTCGATTTAGCTGTGCTTTGTGCATTTCGCTGCGCTTGTAATTCCTCGGAGTGGAAAAATATTCGTACGATGTCAACTGTTAACGTCAGTTATCTTTTCCCTCCTTCAGTGACTTTACATAAAATTAATTTAAAAAATTCGAGAACTTAATAATACAAAACGCTCATGCTGTAAGAAACTGTTCGTTGCACATTAATCAATTAGATTAAAGTTCTATTGCAATTTACTCGAGAGAAAAGATATTTCAATATCCTATTGTTATATATGTAATCAAATTAACTCATACATGATCCTTCTCGAGTACGTACTGCCACGTGCGCTTCTTCGAGATTACATCAATCCGCACATCGCGGTAAGACAAGTGTAACAATAGTGCGCGATAGCAATTAGCTAATAGTTCGATTAAACACACGTATCGTTAGGGGCAACACATTGCCGCAACCGACGTCGTTGCGGGCGGCGTCGCACACTGCGGCAATCCTCTTCTCGACAGCTGGAGGATGAGGAGAGAGAGAGAGAGAGAGAGAGAGAGAAAAAAAGGAGAGATACTTTTTAAGCCCGGCCAAAGTTCGCGCGCGGGGAAAAAGGAATTAATGCGCGACTGACTTCGCTTTACGAGTCGCGTGTCACTTCTGCCGCAGTTGGAATCGTGGTCGCTAAGTGAGACTTCGAGTCTCATTTCGATGAATCATGCTACCAGTAGCGCACACACCAAGGCAATTTCTTCAGCCACGTCGGAATTTTCCTGCTCGTTAGATTTCTATCAGACAGATCTGTGTTCCACGCCGATCCCAAACTGGTTTAATCATTATTTGTCTCAATAATCGGGACTACGAATCGTGTTTCTACGAGGTCTCTTTCCTTGGGGATTGTTCTAGTACTTTAGTCTGAATTTTTCAGCTATATTAAGTGTATTTTCGATAATAAGTCGGTCTCTTCAGCAATGAATCATTTTGATAGGAGAGGGAGAGAGGGAGAGAGGGAGAGAGAGAGAGAGAGAGAGAGAGAGAGAGAGAGAGAGAGAGAGAGAGAGAGAGAGAGAGAGAGAGAGAGAGAGAGAGAGAGGAGAAAAATAGATAACAGAAACAAACTCTGATAGTAAAAATTCTTCGGTCTCGCGTGGATACTCTTATTTTTCTTCTTTTCTTGTGGCTATAAAATTTTCCCGTTTTGCACCGCCTGTTACGTGCACTATTATTACACACGGTGCATTTGTTATACACAATGATTAGCTGCCTATTCTGTTATTTTGGTTTTCCGCAAATAAACTGAAACTGCATTCTGCATAAGAAAATGCTTCCTTTGTAATGTGCAACGTATGTGCGTCTTGCATACTCAAAACGAATTTTCGTATGCATATTTACATGAGAGAGAATGGCGCGTCAGGGAATTTACATTCCTGCACGTGCAGTGTACACATAGAAGCAATGCAGATATCGCGGAGTATCGAAACATTTGTATATTTTTGTGGGCGCGTCAAATCTTCTTTTTTTTCCCCTGTCTTATCTATATCTATATGTATAATTATTAAGCATGAGTTTACACATCACAATCAGTCCGCATATCGACAATCTATTAATAATCACCGCCCGTTGTATATTTGTGGAAAAGTTCGCGGTTCAAAACCTTTACGCCGCGTTTCATATTTCTGCTCAGAAAACATGAAAAGCACCTCGTTTTTTTAGACTTGCGTGTTGCTCATTGCATTAATAGAATTGTCGTGACTCTATTGAGATAAACAAGTCTTTTATTATAGCAGAATATATTTTTTTCACCATCTTATATCTCGTAAAAGGAGCGGCGTGCTATCTTTTAGATGTGATATTTTCAATGTAAAATGTCGATGACCTTTTCAGACTTTGAATTGCATCGACTCACGTCTAAGCAATAACATAACAAGCTAATTACAATTTTAACTTCTAACTTGCTCCGTACGCATGTTTCGCATTATTCGTATTCTGCTTCTATTATCTCTGTGATTATCTTCATGGAGCGCAGGCCTACCGACTCTTTCGGATTGCGAGTTCAACGAGGATCGACGTCGCATATAACATCTATCATCTATATATTAGTTTTGCGCCAGCACGGTAAAATCTTAGCTAGTTTAGTTGCTCGGACGCAAGTTGACACGGCTGACAATTCAAGGTAAAAAAAGGTGAATAATAAAAAAGAAGCAGAATACGAATTATGCGAGGAATACTTACGGAGTAAGTTAGAAGGTCAACGAGGATCGCATATCGGCATGCCAGCAATACTATACTTGGCGTTACACTAGCAAGTGGTGAACTTGTAATTAGTTTGCTTCGTTGCTTAGACGCGAATTCCCAAGTAGAACAAGTTAATCACAAAAACGTCAATGTGGCATTAAAATGATGAATCTTACGTCATAAAATGATCGACAACAAGATTTACTTTGCAATGACTGATTTATGATATTCGTGATGTGTATAATAATAATATTATATTACAGATTACACGATCAGTCATATGTTATGTTTATCTTATATTACTTCAATTTATTTTTAATGTATAATATTTAATTAACTTTAATGCTTCGTAAATCAAGATCATTTTTACGACATTTTGATGTCTTAATGATGTCACAAATAGGTGCTCTCGGTGGGCTGTTTTGACGTCACCGTGATGCATAAAAAAATGACGTCATCTTAATGTTTTCATGACTAATAGATTCTACTTGGGTTAATGCCGTTTAAAGTCTAAAAAGATGAACATTTTACATTGAAAATATCATGGCTGGATCGGTAACGATTCCCTACTATTTTTCTAATCGTAGCGATATCTTTCTTCCTGAATGCTTTTCCTTCTTTGGAGGAATAAATGCATTCGAGTGATACGATCTAAAGAGTATTTAGAAAGAGAGAGCGTGGGGAATTCTCTAAATTTACGAAAGCATACTTTGGTGATAAGATACAAAATTGATACAGTTTCTTTGGTAATAGTAAAGTCTCTCTCGGTGGAGACTTTAATACTTGTTTCAATACTGCACTTCAATGATGGGATAAAGGATTAATAAGGGAATATTGCGGTGTTTGAGCAAGATGTAAGCGAAAACTAGGGCAAACTCGTTTACCTCCTTCCCGCAGTTCAAAACGCGCGTGCATCATGCACGTGTGCGAACGAACGTATACATAGACGTCAATTTCCCCGGCGGTATTGTTTACCGGTAACCAATAGCGATTCCGCAGAGGAAAGATTCCGAATTTGAAATCGTGATCAATATCTCGCGGCGTGTGTATTGCGTAATTCGCGACGCGACGATGTTATGATGCGAAAACTGTGTGCTTCGCGGATAACTGACATATCGCGCTGTATCTTATTTGCTATCTTTATTCCAATACACATACCGAGTCATCGCTTAAGTTTTACCGAGCGCATCCGTAGATATCTACGAGGGAGATATCCGTTTCCCATTTCTCTATGATGTCTGCATAGTGACAATAAAATGTAATCGAACGCGCATCCGTATTCTACGAGGGAGATATCAGTTTCCCATTTCTCTTTGATTTCTGCATAGTGACAATAAAATGTAATCGAACGTCGCCGCGAAATATCTGCAATTAAGCACAACTGATCATCGCATGACTTGCTGTCAAAAAGACAAACTAAAAGTTAACGTTCTTAATACTTGCATTATTTAATTATATCGGTATTACTGATATTTGCGTTGCTTATACTGTACGGAGTAACTTGCAGAAGTACGGAGTAACTCGCGCACACGAAATGCACAGTGTTAGGTCACAGTGCCGAAAGAAGAAAACGTTTCAGCCTTGCTCTCATTTAAAAAGGACATAATGCCAAGGGAAAATGCCGCTTTTTCTCCGTCTCGGAGAGTCGCGCTGTGCATTCCGTGCGTGCAAATTCTTCCACTCTATGCAAGACGTTAAAAAAAAGCTGCGTCACTTAAAGAATCATAAACACAGCGAACAAAAAGTGTCGATTAGATAAGATTAATCTTCGAAGCAGAGGAGTAATGCGCTGTTAGTAATAAGTTACACGCATGCTAGGTGAAATTAGACGCAAATAACGTGTTACGCAATGCGCTTAGATAATACGAAAGGCTATGGGCGTTGGATACATTTAAATTATAAGTAAAAGGCTGCTTGCTTAGTTATATATTGACAGCCATGAGTTTTCCGCACTGAATGCAAGACATTACGCAGTAATGCACGTGGCTTATTTATCGTTGTAAAGTAATTGTAAAATCTGTTGATAACAATTCCGAGAAAGCTAAAACGGTCACGATACGTATCTCCGTCCGATATCGCGTACAGACATATAAAAGTACGCATACGAGCCCCTCTTCACCTTTCTCTTCGTTGGGTGAAATGCACGGAAATTTACTTATTGCGTTTACTCTGTACGCCATTTTGCAATCTTCTGGTCACCGAATGCGATACTCGGGAGATGTTCATCATCCGCGATATCGCCTGACGTCAAAACCTTCCAAATCGAGGACAGACCTGCAACTATCACGTATCTACGAAATTAAGTTCGAAAGGAAATCTAGAAGTAAAATAAGAGATAACGATACAGATAAAACGGTGCATCAAGACAATTTTATTCTTATGAAAGTAAGATTTTCTTCCTTTTTTTTTACCCTGCCACTCGGGTTTCCATTAACTCCACTTATAGAATCGATTACGGATGAATAAATCTAAATGGCAGTAAACAGAGCGTGTGCGATATGCTTTTGAATGAGAAAGAAAGTTGCCTTAAAGTAACTAGCTTTTACTTGGACACAAAATGTAACGTCCATCCGTTTGAAGTGTCCTAAAACGATGAATGCCGTGCAGCTCGGGAGCAAAGTCCTCGTGAAATTTCTTTGAAACCGGTCCATGGTCGTATTATCGCATTTTATGTATGCCGTTCGTTTATCGTCGTTCGCATATCGTCGATGAAGTGTCCTTCCACTCCATTCCGTATCAATGACGTGGTCGTTTGAAGTTGCGTTGTTTTTATTCGTAATTACATGGTCATCGATAACGCACGCGCCAGTCAACGACATACGTCTCTCTCTCTCTCGCTCTCTCTCTCTCTCTCTTTATGCGAATGTCGTGAATGCGGGATGCAAGTCCGACTATATATATATATATATATATGTGTGTGTATATATATATAATTTTATACAATGAACTTATTTATATATACGTCACAGATGGTGTATTTTTGCACTAACTCTACAGAATGATCCTCCATGATATTTGTCTGCTGCTAAATACGCTATGTTAATTTTCTGCATTACAACTGGCACTTCTGAATTATTGTTAATTACTAGTCGCGATTACTAGGACTGTGTGTCTTTGGCGTGTCGGTTTTAGAAAAATACTCAATTTTTGATTCTCTAAGGTCTAAAATGCAAGAATGATGACGATTGAGCCGCGAGCACCGGTTCACCTCGGATGCTCTTTCTCTGTCAAAAATTGATTATTTTTGTATATATATAATATATATATATATCACTATTTATTGTTACCTATGTCTATAAGTGTCTGTATATATAATATATGTCGGCAAGCGTCCGGAAAAAACGTAATCACAAAATACACGCTTATATCTCTATGAGCTAATAATGCTGTATTAATATAATGTGATTACACATGGTGGTTTTTCTTTTTTTTTGTCTCTGCAATACGTAATACGAGCTACTTATTGTTTGTGTACTGACTGTTGTATGTGTACTTGCTTCTTTCTCAGGGCCTGTAATGCTCTCTATTTACGCATTCTGCGGTGTTTTTAGCGCGTGTGCGAATGTATACGGAAGCACGGACTATTATCTACGTTACATGAACTGTCTAACTAATTAACTAACTTAACTATGCCTTCCTAGAACTACTCAGACTTCTGTTTAACATTTACCTCATATATCTCGCTTATAAGAATAACGTCATGATCGTATTTGTAATATCGACTACGGCACCTACACGTCTTGCTTATTGATAATTAATACTGCTAGACGACTAGACTTGTTTCATATAACATTCGGTCTTGTCCGCCCTTAAAGTTATTATCTAATTTGACACATAATTTTCGTATACAGTCTTAACATTTATGATGATGTTTGTATTGTGCTAAAAATATGTCACAGGCTACAAAACTCTTCTTTCCCCCCCCCCCTCTCCCTTCCGCAAAATTTCCTCCTCTCGCTTTTTGGTCGATACATATGTTCCGTATAAAGTTCCCTGTGGATTATCTGCTTGATCGCTGTGAGTAAAATAATGTGTTTTTTCTTTAGAATCTTTGTCACTGTTTGAATAATGCTACAATCGTGTATAATCTATGCTCGTAGAATAATATTCCTATTATATGGTAAGTTGTAAATTTCATAACCAGTATAAAATGACCAGTACCAATACAATTATCACAGAGTTGTCAAGATAATGTCGTATAGAGTATAGAACTAGTTTTACAATACGTATCTTGCTACACATAAACTTTCTTGTGAAAGTACACAATCATACGCAAATCATAATTACTACTACCTATTCTAATAATATTTTAATAGTATCGGAAAAAATAAAAGAAAAATGAAAGAGTCTTCACAAAAAGTGGCAGTGTGGGCATTTTTAATATAGAAACGAGATGTACTAATACGTAACACAATCTGTCGGATTTAAACGTGTTAACCGGTTAAAAATGATACATTTACGATAATACAATTACAATATGTTCCTAGAAACATTTAACAATTATCATTTCCCTACCGCTAAAATAATATGTATATAAACTGTATTAATATGCGTAGAAAAGAAGACTAAAAGTATCAATACTTAAATCTGGCTATGAAATTTCAAACTTACTTTCTTTGCTATACCGTAGTAAAGCTCCAACGCTAAGCTTACTAACAATAATGGAAGTTCACCAATATCCCATATTAACGAACATCTCTATCAGATAGTATATAGAAAGACATACGTATCCAATAAATAACTAACAAAATATACAATACCAACAACAACGTACTTAACGCTAAATGTATATAAATAATTTAAGAACAATAAAACATACAAAATTTCCGTTCTCGTACCTTAGCACCGTTAATCTCTGGAAATAAAGTTTACATTATACGACAGATACTAATACATGATCAGTATACGATCACCTGGGCAGAACGTTCGTCTGAAATTCTAAGACCAGTCCTCGTATTGACTGCCCATGGTTCATCTCATTAAATCCGCCGCCCTCTGTCGATCTCGATGGACTTCCCGGGGATGCATTCTTTTACGATGTGAAAAACAGTTGCCGGAGCTCGCGAAAGCTTTCGGACAGTAAGGACACTGATAAGGCCTCGCACCCGTGTGCTGATTTATGTGGAATTTTAAATCCTGATTTCGCTTGAATGTCTTATCACAAAGCGGGCATGCGTGCGGCCTCAAGTCCGAGTGCGTTATGCTGTGGGCGCGTAACGTCGAATTCGTTGGATATACTCGCCCGCATACATTACATGGAAACTGTACGCCGCCGTGATACTCCTTGTGTCTGAACAGATTCGACTGAGTTTTGAAACTGCAAGGAATCAAACTTTTCTTTAATGGTTGAGCTTGGAAACTCGTCAAGAATAATGTCAAGAGTATAATACATTATTAGACAATGAAAAACCTAATATTAATATTTTATCTCGACATGGAAACAAATAAAAAAAAATCACTCTATAAGAGATCAATAATTCGATCGAGTGAAATGATCAACTATTAAATTACGAGAATTATATTACAAGAGTGCAAACATACATTCTTCCACATATGTCGCAGCCGTACTTTCCTTTAGGCCTGTGAGTCTCTAAATGCACTTTCAAATTTCCCTTCGTAGAAATCTTTTTACTGCAGATTGGACAGATGAAGTTGCTGGACGAATTGTTATCACTGTTCGTGTGAAGCACACCATTCGTAGAGTAAACGTGTTGGGATTGTAAAATAGGCTTTCCGTCGAATCTTCTCTCTCTGGGTAAATGCGACCACAAGTGATTTTGCAATCCAATTTGCGATATAAAAGATCGGGCACATATTGTACACTCGTGTGGTTTCGCTGGTGCATTGGATGCGGCTTTCCCACTGTCCTCGTGCAACTTGGATTCACCGTCGTCCTCCTCCTCCACTTCAGTATTCCTGAACAGACGAGAGGTTTAAGCAGCGAGCACACACGTCGACGCGCGATCTTTATTGTCAATAATACGGGCATCCCTACTTGTTCGTTAAAGGCAACGGCTCCGGCGTGTGTGTCCTCGTTATTTCCTCCTCGTTATCCGAGGAGTCTGAAGCTTCGGACGTAGACTGTTCCATGCCGCACTGTAAAAATAGCATCGGGTCCACTTTCACCTCCATTTCCTCCATGCTCGGAGTGCAACGTTTCTCCTCGTGGGAATTTGATTCCGATGGTCCCAGTGGCTCGTCTTCGGTTAAAATTTCTATCGCACCCTACGGACAACGGTGACGATACGTTACCCGCTACAACGTAACACACCCGGAACGACCACCATGAAATCCGACTACCCGTAACGCCCATACCTTTGTCAATATCGAATGTAACAGCCCGCGGTCCTCCGTCCTCTTCGCGGTATCTTGCATATCTTTAATACTCTGTATCTCGTCGTCTTGTACAGGATTTGTATTGTCAACGTTACCATAAAGCTGCGATCTCAGCTTCTCCTGGGTGCGGTAAGCCATCATCGCGAAGCGATGAACGCCCTCCAGCCTCTTGATGCACGTCGAGCAGACCATCTTCGAGAATTTGTCCTCCGACGACACCTGCCAAGCATTGAGAAAATGAGTACGCGACGCAAAGGCAGAAGATACGTAACGAGCGACAATTAATTCTCGCAACATCGTTCTACGCGTTAATTCATCTGCACCCCCAGTTAGCGCAAATTCAGTTTATCCCGTGCGAATCATGGCATACGCCGATCCGAACAAGACGCGGCTGTCGTTCTCGGCTACCGGCGTCACATGATTTTACGTCAATTGCACCGCCAAGCATCGTACGGCAATCGTTTGCCTAATTACTCCCCGTATATCGTCATCTCCCGTTACCGTCCATTCCCAGTGAGAAATGATTCGTCGATCAATGCCGAAATGATGTCGGATCAATTCGACGGTGTCGATTCGACGTCGATCGACGAGTCGTTTCTCACCGGGTTTGGCGGCGGCGTCCCGAAATTCCACCCCCGATCGGCAATTAACCTATCTTTCGCGTGCGCGCCGACAGCGTCGACGGGGAGGAAAGGACGCTTTCTGTATTCGGGGGAGAGACGGCCGCCTCCCCGTTTTCTTCCCCTCCCACCGCCGCCCCCGCGCGATCGCGTCTCGGTCGACGCAATTTGTATCCGCGCGCGCGACGTCATCTCCCCGTGCCGTCCGCTCCGCCGCGGACGCGGCCCTCATTTCCGATTGTATTTATAGATGTAGTCGGCTTATATATAGGCGGATAACGCACACACGCGGCGGAGCCCGCGGTATACTTATTGCAATCAATAAAATGCTAATTTTTAACACTTTTGCAGCCCCGGCGCAAAATGGTCGGCGCTCGGCCCGGCGTGTGCGTCCCCCCGGCGCGTATATACGCGGGCGAGCGGACGATCGGATCGGCGTATCGTCCCCGACGACGCGGGCCCGCTGACATTTCGCGGCTCGTTAGAGGCAGACGCGATTAATTTTTCGCCGAGGCGCGACACCCTTGCGCGGCCAACCGCGCGAAAATGTCGCCGTTATATTTAGACGAGCGAGTCGATCCATCGGGGCGAGCGTCGCCGTTCGACGACGGGAAGGGGGGAGGCGAGGGGGAGATTTCGGGCTTCTCGGCGCCGATCTCGCGCCGCGATCTCGCCGATCGCGGCGCGGGAGATCGGCGACCGGTCGCGTCCGATCTCGCCGAGAGATCGGCCGCGCGATCGGCGCGCGCTCGCGGGATTTCGGCGACCGCGACCGGCACGTGGATCGCGGCACACGCCGCGCGGCGGGGGAGGGGCGGATTTTGAAAGGGGAAAAAAAAGAGGGAGCGAGAAAAGAGGAGAGGGAGGGGAAAAAAAGAACGGGACGCCCGCCGCGCGAAAAAAAACGCGGGGCCGGCACCGCGGTTTGTCTCGTCGCACTCACCAGGATGTGCAGATATTTCCGTATTTTGGTCTGCAGGTAATGACGCCGGCCGTCCTCGGCGAAAATGTGCATCCCGTCGTCGTCGGCGGCGGCGATGTCGGCCGCGCAGATCCGGCACTGAGCCACAGGCCGGTCCGCTGCTTGCCGATCGCGCTGCTGCTGCTGCTGCTGCTGCTCGAGATCGCGTGCCGCCGTACTCATCTTTCAAAAAGGAACCGGTAGAGCGAGGATGGCGAAGGGGAGGAATAACGAGCGGAGAGAAGGGGGGGAGGGCGCCGGAAAAAGGGGGAGGCGATTTTTCTTCTCGTTCCACCGCTGGAAGACTTTTTTTTCGTCTCTCGGCCGATCCCCGACGTCGGCGGACGTTCTCGCTTTTCTTTTCCCTCCTCCCGGGGAAAAAACGAGCGAACGGCGGGGCCGAGGGGCGGCTAGGACGAAACGCCGAGTCGCCGAGTCGTCGGGCCGCGACGCGACGCCTTCATTTACCCGGACAACGGCGGGGCATCCTCGGTCGCGTGGAGGAGCGACGGCTGCGGCGGCGACGGCGGCGGCGGCGGCGGCGACGGCGACGACGACGACGACGGTGGCGGCGGCGGCGACGACGACGACGACGGTGATGCGCGTCCGAGAAGAGGCCGCGTGTGTCTCCCGACGGCGGCGGGCCGAAAGCGAGCGAGCGTGCGACGGCTTGATTATTCTATAACGATTTTCCCTCTTTTTTTGTTCCGCCGTATACTTTATGAGTGGGGCCGCGGATTGGGCGAGATTATAAGCCGCGCGGCACGGCACAGCACGGCACGGCGCGACGCGACGCGAGTCGTCGTGCCCGCGGTGCTCTTTATAAAAACAGACGCGCGGCTCTCGCCCGCGCTCTCGTCGCGGCTAGTCGTCGGGCGTCGGCGTGCGTCCGTCCCCCGTCCGTCGCCGCCCCCCGGACTCCGTGCCGCGAGTGCTCAATACAAAATATATAATAGTATTCGTCGATTTGAAAAACATATGTATATAACCAATTGTTTTATTTATGGATTCCGCCGGCGCCTCGCGTCGCGGCGCGCGGCGCGGCGCGCGACGCTCCCCGCCGCGGCGCAGAGCGCGCGCGTATACGTGCCCGCGGCGTCTCCGCCTCCGCCGCCGCCGCCGCCGCCGCCGCCTCCTCCGCCGTCGCCGTCCGCGAAAATCGTATATTACATCGATGCAACGACGGACGGCGCGACGACGCGCCGCGCAAAGAATAAAACGCATCGGCGCGCGGCAACGCTCTTAATTGGTCCGCCATCTTGGCCGCCGGCGCTCGCCTCGACCCGCCAATTTCTCTCCTCTCGCGCGAGAACCGCGTCGCGACTCGCCGCCGCCGTCGCGCGCGCGCGCGCGCCGAGCGCGTCGCGGACCCCGTCGCGACGACCCGGGATCGGCGTCGCGACGCGAACGAGCGAACGAGCGAGCGAGCGAGCGAGCGAGCGAGCCCCGCGAGTAGTGCGCGCGTTTTCCCGCCATTTCCCGCCGGGTATCAATGCGCGCGTGCGCGTGCGCGCGCCGCGGTTTTTGCGCGCCACGGAAAATAGTCCGCGGCCACTCGGCGGGAGTTCCCCCTCCCCGACTTCCACCCCTCCCCCCCGCGCGCCCCCGCGCCCCGCCGCCCGCCCGAGGGGCGAGGCGGAGGGCCGGCGCTACGCTTCACGTCCCCATTTTAAAAAAAATCAATACTTAATAATTAGCAATTAATACGCCCGCCGCGCGCACGTGTGTGCGTGCCCACGTGTGTATGTGTGTGTGTGCACGTGTGTGCCCGCGATTACCCTCTTCCCCCCCGCCCCCGCCGGTCTCCACCGACCAATCCGCCCTCCCCGTCGCCCACCCCCCCGCGGCCCTTAATCACGCCAGGCTCGTTATAATGACACGATCATTATTTCGTTAATTATTCGTATCGACGTTTGTTATTCTCCCCTTTTTGTACGCGGGGGATGATTTTCGCCGCGGCGCGAGTCGAGCGGGGGGGGGGGGGGAAGGAGGAGACCCCCCCCGTCTCCCTCCGCCCCACCCGCGAGGACGAATTCGCGTGTTTCGGGTTGGAATTAATTCGCGGGGGATCGACGCCCGTAATTATATATCGCGACGCCCGACTACGCGGACCGACGATGACAATCGGCGCGTTCGATCGCGCGGCGGCGATGACGTCTTATTTCACGCCGGCGTTCGCGACGCGCCCGTACAATTTGCAATTAGCGTCGCGCGAGACGCGCGCGATAAACACATTGATTAAATGTCAATGAGGCAAACGGAACGAATGCATCCCCCCTCCCCCTCCGGATTGTTAACGCGTAATTTTATCCCGGGATAAAATTCGCGACACGGCGAGGCGAATGAATTGATGCGCCGAAGTTTCTTCTCGGCGCGCACGGGGGAGGGGGGGGGGCGGACAATTTAAGTCGAGAGAATTAAAATTGAAAGAGGATCGTCACACGCGTCTCATTGTTATTAATTATTACAGTAATTTATCGTTCCCGCTGTGAATTGTAGATATCGCTGTTGTCGTCGAGGCAGGTCGAGAGGCTTTCGAAAATCTCGTCCTAGCCTGTGCGTTCCCTCGCCGGGGCCGACGCGATGAATGAACGCGCGCGAGAGACAAATGCGGGCGAACGAGAGGAGACATAACCTCGAAGGGTTCCCCCGGGACTAGGAGAGACCGCGGGAACGACCGGCAGCAAATCCTCGTCGTTTCCCGTCCGCGCGCTCTGTCGCGGCAAGAAGGAGCGATCATGCGATCGAGGCGTCCGGTAAAAGTCGCGGTATACTTTTCGAGGGAGAATCCATGTCGATGCTCCCGCGCGTCCGGTCCGGCGGCGAGTCTTCCCGGTCGGAAATCCGGCTGGCGAAACTCGACGTCGGCCGCGCTCGCGTTTCGCGGCCCGGCGTCCGATGACGTAGCCTGCCGATGGAAACCGGACCGAGTCCGTTTACCGTCTCGGTCAATTTTTCTGGCGAGGCTCCACAGAACTGCGGAGAACCCGTTCTCGACGCCCCGGACGCTGCGCGTTCAGGAACACCCGAGTACCCCAGCGGCGTATCATTTTATATACCCTCGTTACTCACCGTATTGTTGAACAAGGGGTCAATTCTGTATCTTACAATACAGTGAGAATGCTGAAGGTGTACGGCTTTGTCTCTTTCGAAGGGGACGGTTAGAAAGGGACAAAGCCATTCACCTTTAGCATCTTCACTATGGTGCAAGATGCAGGGCATCGATTCTGTATCTTACAATATAGTGAAAAGGCTGAAAGTGAGCGGCTCTGTCTCCAAGGGGACAGTTGGAAAGAGACGAAGCTACTCACTTTTGGCATTTTCACTATAGTGTAAGATACAGAATTGACCCCTTGGGGTTGCTAAAAGTGAGCGCTTTCATCTCTTTCTAAGAGGACGGTTAGAAAGAGACAAAGCTACTCACTTTTAGCATTTTTACTACAGTGTAACCCAGATAGCACACAGTTCTATAAAGCTTCTGGAGTGCAAATATTTCTAATTTCAGAATGTTCCAATCGAATATTCTATAAATATATATAGATTGTTACAATTGGAAATCATATATTCATAACAAAGAAGAACGTTTTTGGAATATTCGTCGAGAATGTCTTTGAAATATTTTATCAGAATAATTTTTTAATACTCACCGAGTTTACGTATTGCACATTGTTTATTGTGTAATACACTTGTCTTATGCAAAAGGCAGTCAAACCTGTGACACGCTATATTCAATAGATTATTCTATTCACATTCGAAAAAGATAGCAGTGCCAGTCGAATGTTCTACGAACATACGATAAATATATAAGAATGACCTACGGAATGTTTCAAATATTCTCAAAGAATATTCTTAAAATGTAATGGCTTCTGGATGGTTGCCGCGTCCGTTTGCAGTTTGGTGCCGACGTTTCGCAAACATTGCAGTTTGCATAAATCAGGGCTGGGACTCTGGATACTGATTCTTAAAATGTTCGTAGGAGTGTCCTGTGCTATCTGGGAAGACACAGAATTGGAGCCCAAGGCCAAAGTGATACAGTGGGGCACTCGGGGTGATGTTTCTGAGCGCTGCCCTGGGTGACAATATTTTTGCGATCGCAGGCCGAGTAAATTTCCCGTGCGAAGATGCCGAGGAACGAGATCTGCGGGTACACGTCGTTGTTGTGCAGCGTCGCGGACAGGCCGCTGGACCTGTGGTCGAAACACGTCTCCTACGGCGGCAGAGTTCGCAGAGTAAGGGACGACTTATTGCACGGGGACAGAGTAATCGAGATCGTCGGGCCTCACGACAACGCGATCCCCACGAGCATAACCGCTCCCGCCGGAGCACTGGACGTCCTGAACATAAACCTCCCCGTTCTCGCGTTAGTCGTAAAGAACTTGAACCTGCGGTTCAAACTGGAGATTCAAGTACACGGATGCTCTTGTCGGTTCTATGAAAGACACCTGTGTCACTCTCGATGACCTGATCATAATTTTCTGTCCTCTGCACGCAAAGGTAATCGACAAGGAACAGTACCGGAGGAGATTCTCCTTCATGACCTACAATGTCGAAAAATTGCCCAGCGTCAGCGCAAACGTGGCTCATATTCCATTGAGACTGGACGAATGCTGGAACTTGTTGGAGATGAACCTTCAAGCTCTCTGCCACGAAGCGTACGGGACGGATTACGAGGCTCTGCAGAGAGTAACGATTTACCCGAATTGCCATTTGAGAAGAGTATATCTGCAGGATCGTCATTACGATGACGATGAGACTCCGGTCGAGGTATACCAGGCGATCTTCGATAGGTACCTGCTGAAACGGAGAAGCAATTTCATCGAAAGGGCATGTCAGACGGAACAATGTTACGCAGGTTACGCAGGTTTTACAGATTCTTGAAGAAGCGCGAGATATACATACGCATTAATATATGTTTGATTCTTCTTTGGCTTCTAGGATCTTTAGAGCAATCTGATTTCAATCGTTTCCCCAGAGACGATTCTATTGGTGCGCCGCCAGCAAAAGTGGATTTATGTAAAAATGTACGTAGCGTGGGGAAACTGAAAGGTTCAAGTCCACTTGTGGACGTGAGCTTGTACAATTCTCGTATATTAAAAAGGAATTACATGTCGCTAGACGCTTTAAACGACGCGATAAAATTACGTGATCAAGATGCCTTCGCGAGACAAAGTGAATGCTTTACAAAATCTTTGGTAAATGATCTAGTTGTAAAGAATGAATTTGAAAAAGGTAGCGCTGTTGTAACGGGGAGAGCAGAAGAGCAACGATGTGCAGTGGCAATGCACAAGGCAGGAAACTCATTGTTAGATATGAAAATTAATAATCATGCGTTGCAACCTGCATCTTCTGTCGAATTAAAAAGAATCGCAAAGAGCCAATTTTTAAAAACGCACGTCAGTGAATTATTATTCAAAGACAACAGATTTTCAAAATGTCCGCAGAAAATTCAGAATGTAGGAGATACGTACGTCAACTCGAGAAACTGTACATTAAGTGACAATGTTAACGATGTACAGATGGGAAATACAAATTGTACGGATGCAAAATCGAGAGTTTCTGCCGTCAATTCTCCGTCTGCTTGCAAACTCGATCTCTCGGAAGACATTAAACTAGACAAAATAAGCAGTAACGTGTCCAACACTCGAAGCAACGACCATATTATTTCCAAGTGCAAATACATGAGAGAGAGTGAGAAAAGTATCGCCGGTCGTTTGAGATCTCTGGTTAGTATCGAGGAAAGCGCTGAAGACATAACTGAAAATATGCCTAAGTGCATTCCGGCTGTAATCGAAAAAGAGACAAAATTGGACAAAGTGAAATCGTGAGTCACATTTAAAACAACAAGGCTGTACATGATTTTACATAGCTGTAGGTCATGCCACAAATAGAAAACTTATCGAAAAATTACAAGAAATTACGAAACTCACCGTGTTTGTAAGTAGATCAAATATGATGATTCGAAGAAACTTGTAAAAGTGAGATAGAAATGGTGCACTGATAAAGACATTGATTTGCAATAATTAACTTTTTGTAGATTATTTGAAGATTGAATTATAGGAAAATTTTTATATATATAAAAAGAGTATATATGTCGTAGCCCGATAGCGAAATTAGCCATTTAGCTAAAAGCCTAGGCGTTTAGCTAAATGCCGCCCGTTAGGCTAATCGACGACGATATAGTCTAATGGCCTGAAAAATTCAGCCTGTTAGACGACAAGTCGGCTTTTCGCCTAACGGCCTGGTGCGCTTTAGGCGATTAGAGAAATGCTTGTTTTGAGGCTCGATGCGTTGTCAATTTATTTAGTACACAATTATTACTACATTACTATTTGTTAATACAGGATAACATAGTCAATTCATGCCTGAAGTCACTTTATTAATTTTTACACTTTCTATTTGTTAATGCAAGACGAGCTACTGTGACAACGAGAATTGCAAAGAGCCGTGACAGGGTGGTAGTGTCTAAATATTCTATTCTAAGTTTATTGCGAAAAAATATCACCTCGGCCAGGGTTTGAACCTTGACCTCCCTCTCGCTAGGCGGGCGTCTCAACCAATTCGACCACCGAGGCACATGGCAATACTCATCGCAATAAACAGTCTAATGTTGATTCCCGAGTGCCACCTATCGTGAGAGTATTCGAAATCG